CCAACCCTGACTGTTGCGGCCCTTTGGAGAGTGAGGCAGCCAAAGGAAGATTTCTCTGTGTCTCTCCGTCTCTCTGTAACTCTGCCTTTCAAGTAAATACATAAAACTGAGAAAGAGAGAGAGAGAAAAGAAGGGGAGGCAGGTGCCTTTGCCAGCTATGCACACACACACTGCATAACCATCAGAAGAGCCTGCTCCTCTTCACCGGCTGGGTGACCATGCGGGTCATGGTCTGCCCACTTTTGGCTGAGTTTTGGCCGGGCAGAGGGCAGGGGAGGGGGAGGCTGGACGTTTCTCGCCGCAGCTGCTGCAGCTGCTGTGTGCTCTGCCCACATCCTCTCTCTATCCAGGCTCTGGGCACGGCGCCTTCCTCGTGTCCCTGCAAACATACAGGCAGTGACAACTGTCCTCTCGCCACTGATACGCAGTGCGCGAGGGCAGAGGGCCCCAGCACCGCTACGGTTCAAATTCACACGCAGGAAATGTGATCCCAAGTCACACGCTGGCGGCCTCCTTGGGGAGGGCAGCGGGTCATGAGGGCTCTGGCCCTTGCGAAGGGCCTTCGCCAGTTACCGATGAGTGGGGCTGCTGAGGGGCCCGCGCTCTCTCGGGCTTGCTCTGGGAAGCCCTATGCCAGGTGATCGTGCAGGAAGAAGGCCCTTGCCAGAGGCTGAGCGGACGCTGCAGTCACGCCCTCGCCCCCAGGCCTCCAGGACCGGGACCCAAGCAAAGCCCCATCTTAGCCAGTCGTCCAGTCTGCAGTGTTCAACGACAGCAACAGAAAATGTACCCTGACACACACAATCCCTCACTGGTTCCTCAAAGCAAAAAGCTTCTACATGCTAATAGACCCTTTCCCAAAAGCTTCTCCATCACCCAGCCCGCGTGGGCCCTATTCCCTGCCACGCTGCCACCGGAGAGTTGGCTTCTGGAATCAGCAGCCAGCCCAACAGACACCGGCTGTGGATGGCAGGGTTTCCCAGATACGTGCCAGGGGCCCAGGATATAGGATCATGCTGGTGCTGTCTCCTGGAGTGGCACATGTCGCCCAGACTCCAGAGACAGATGGCCGGCACAGGAAGGCAATGTGGTGAGGAGAGAAGATGTGCTAAACAGGAAGGGGCGCGGGAGGGCGAGGGCTGGGTGAACCTGCCAACTCTGTATCTTAAATGAGAAAATAAAGGGATAAGCTGTGGCAAAATGCAAAACCACCAGGACAGTAACAGCTAGAAACCTCGTCTCCCTCATCTGAAGAATGGACCTAAATAGGAATCGACTCATAACGCTGTTACGGGGACACAAGGCGATGTTACAACTTAGGGCGGCTCCTGGAACTTTAATGACAGGAAATTAATGGGAGATTCCATCTGAGAAACTTGCTCCAGTCCAGCTACCCTGGGAGGAGGGTGATGGGGTGAACTGGCAGAGTGTGGGAATGAGGACAGGCACAGCACGGGGAGGGCCAGTGTGTCTTGCCCCTGGGACAGGAAGGGTCAGTGGAGTCAGGCTCCTCCATCTGCCATCACGAGAGAATACAGACAGCTCTTGACTCAGAATGTCTGACTGACAATTTTCCTACTTTACGCCGGCAAGAAGCCCAGATTCTGGGAACAAGATCATTTTATGAAATCCAAGCATGTTTCTCCATCAAGTAGCCAACAGAGCATTAATTAAATAAATATGAAACAGGTACAAGAGCATACAGAATATCAAATAACGAGGAACACACTCACATATATGGAAAACTAAGAAACCATGCCACAAGATGGTTAAAAATGTCAAACACAGCCTAGTGAAGAGATACCATGTTCATGGAAGAGTAACTACCACACCTTCCATCTGCAGAGGGCAGCAGAGAGTTCAGCAGTGACAGCCGGCAATCAGGGCAACCTGGGTTTATAGTCCAGCTCCTGCTGCTTCAAGGGATTCAACCAACTCCTCTGAACCTTGGTCCCAGTGACTCCTGCCTACTGGTTAGGGACCAGTGGCTATGAAAGCACCAGAGGGCACTGTTACAACTAGTAGTATTGTCCCTCGTTGGTCTGCAGGTTTGAAAAAAAGTCCTAGGGGCCGGCTCTGTGGCGCAGCTGGTTAACGCCCTGGCCTGAAGTGCCAGCATCCATATGCACGCTGGTTCAAGACCCGGCTGCTCCACTTCCGATCCAGCTCTCTGCTATGGCTTGGAAAAGCAGTAGAAGGTGGCCCAAGTCCTTGGGTCCCTGCACCTGTGTGGGAGACCCAGAAGAAGCTCCTGGCTCCTAGCTTCGGACTGGCACAGCTCTGGCAGCTGTGGCCAACTGGGGAGTGAACCATTGGATTGAAGACCTCTCTCTCTCTCTTTCTCTCTCTCTCTCTCTCTGTGTGTGTAACTCTGACTTTCAAATAAAAATAAATAAACATTAAAAAATAAAAAAAGTTCTATCTCACAGTTTGGGCCATCCATGTCCCTACTTCTGCCCACCTCGCTGTCACCAAAGGCACTGCTGAGAGTTTACTCCATCTGTAACACTTCCTCACTCACACGGCAACACAGGAGGCATGTGCTATATTAGCCCCAATTCACAGGTGGAAAGACTGGCATTCAATAACCAACTCATCATCCATTCTTCAGACTTCCATGACGAGCACCTTCAGTGTGCTGGGAGCTCTGCGTGCCCTGGGGGCTGGGGCAGACGTGGCCCCTGCTCTGTAGCGGCTGATGTACCAGTTGGAAAGGTACATCAAAATCATATGTCAGCTAACAAACCAGCAGAACCGAGGCTCAAACTCGGCTCTGTGGGACACCCGCGTCCACGCTGCTAACCGCTCTGTGCAGGCACCTTCTGCAGCCTCCGGGGCTCCCTCCCCTCTGGCTCTGCGAACGGCTTCTCACTGGCTCTCTGCAGGCTGTGCCGGAAGCCCGCAGGCGTCCATGGGCCTCGCCATCCAAGCTGCTGTGCAGACTGAGAGCTGTCAGCTTGGATCCTGGCCCGTGCGACCCCCTGCATTACCACTGGAGAATTACAGCAGGGAGGAGGAATGCACCAGGGAGGCCAGCCCCTCCCCCCGCGCCCAGCATCAATCGCATTGTTCCAGAAGAGTGTGCGTCTGAGTCCTCTGCCACCATTAATGGCAGAAGTGAGTCACTTATAAATAAGAAACGGGAGCTTTATTACAATTACGTTCCCAGATTCCTGCGTCACGGGGGAAAGGGAGGGCGGCAGGTGACTGGGGCTCGGATGATCTGCTGCCAGGTACGGCTTTCAGAAAAAACGTCTTGGATCGGGAGCAATTACAGGGAACGCCTGGCCTGAATGCTAATGAGAAGCACTTACAATCGCATGTAATTCTTTGCCATTTACACTGTTGGGTTTTTTTTTAACCACACCCCCCTTTCTCTGCTTTTCCTCCCTGGCATTGATCCTGAGAAACAGACACTGGCACGTGATCACCAGCCACGGTGTACATGAGGAGACCGAAGCCCAGCTTCACTCGGCTCCGAGGGCCGGGGCTGGGGTCTCAACCCCCAGCCTGTATGGCTCCGTCATACAGGAGGACAAAAAGGACTCTCAACTCTGGAAGTGGCGCCCCTTGCTTGGGCCACCTCCCAGGCCAGGGCAGGACAGCCTGAGCAGACCACGTGCAAGCGGTTTCAAACCTGACCTCCTCCACCCCATGACCACCAGGTCGCCCACACTCGTCCCTGGGGCGTCCCAGAGATGATGACCGCACAGGGCTGAAAGCCCCGACGACCCAGAGATTGCTAGAAGGACACACCAGGTCCCTGGCACTTGGTCCCAGCCCCTCCTTCCCCTTCCTGACCCCTGAGAGTCGAAAAGCATTAGCTTGGAAACTCCCAAATCTGCAGCCCCCAGCCGAGGTTCCAGCTGCAGCCTGAAGCAGCAAGGTTCTGCCGACGGTGATAACCATGGAGACGCCCAGTGCTTGCTGAGGACCTAGCGGAGCACCAGCTGTCTACACCTGCCCGGGTCTGTGCCAAGACGTCTGGCTACAGGCTTCATAAAGCTTGACCCTGCTGGAAGTCTTCTGCAATGCACGTGGCACCCTCCACTTACTCCCACCTCGCCACAAGAAAGTGCCAGAGGCAGGGTGGTTCGCAGGTGGCACGGTCAGGCCTCCAGGCTGGGCTTCTTGGCCCCTGTGGTAACCGTGAGGACGACGGGCACCTCGGTAGCGCTTCTGTGCATTCTACGGCACCGGCACAGACGGGAAAGCTGAGTTCCACAGGGGTGCAGCAAGTCCCCTAAAGCCCCAGAGCTCGTAAGGCGCAACCTGGGATGTGAACCCAGGCAGGCCAGCTCCACGGTCCAGTTCCCTCCGCTCTGCTGCCCCTTTGCTACAGGAAAGCCACACAGTTTCTACTGGGCACATTTTGACCGTGAAGACAAAAGTGCGGGTGCAGAATCCAGAGAGAGGCTACGGGGAAGAAGTACTCATACCAGTTCACCCTCCTGAGCCATTTAGCTGAGGCCAGAAGGGGCTGTTCCCAGCTCAGGACTGGCCAAACTCCTCCAGAGTGCAGGGCCCAGGACGGGCAGCCCCCGCCCCACTCCCAGCTCTGCCACTGCAGACAGGCAGTGCCCACGGGTGGCACCAGGCAGCCCACCAGGGGAGATCCCACTTGAGACAGCTGGGCAGGCCCCTGCCCCATGGAAAAACCCACCATAGCCCAGCAGATTTCAGATGCGCCCCCAGAGGGCATTCCCATGGGGTTGTCCAGCAGGCCACGGCCCATCTGGCACTAAGCCTCCTTCCCAGGGAGAGGGACAGCGGCGCTGGGGGGCCCCGGGGCCTAGCGTCCCCTCCTCTTCAGCATTGCTGCTGCCGGCGCCAAGCACAGAAGGCCCTGGAGTCCCGTCTGCTGCCCGAGTTCTAGTGATAATCCGGGAGGACTCAGACCAGACCCGTCTTCAAATACCAACTCTGCCCGCCCGGCTGGCCGGGCGACCTCACACAAACTGCTTCACCGGTCCTGCGAGGCTAATAATAGCGGCACTTACCCAGCACGGCGATGCTCTGACGGGTCCGGCGCCCTCTCTCCCCGGCTTCCCTCGTTCCCGGTTGCCTCCGGGATTCCAGCCAAGCCGGGGCGCTCCAGCTGCTCTCTGCCCGCGGCGCCCGCGCCTCTCCCTAGCCCTGCCGGGACCCCCTGCCCCTGCGTTCCTCGGACGCACCTGCCCCAGCACACAGGGGATGCCCCAAGCGGGTCCTGCCCCAGACCCGGCTTTCCCCGTGTTCCCAGCCCGCCCCCTCCTGGCGGCCGGACTCGGAGGTGGGAGCCGCCTACTGGAGGACAGCGACCCTGCCTGGAGCGTCTCCGCACTGGCTGCTGCCCCAGAGAGGGGCTTCGGCGAGGAACCGCTGCGCTCCAGCTGCCGCGGCCGACTCCCCGGGGCTTTTTCCAGAAAAACTGAGCAACTTACAGAATTCGGTGCCCTGGAAGCGCAGCCCGGATGCGCTTCTGCCACCGCGAGCGACTCCCTGGCCGTGGGTGATACACACACACACCGCACACCCCTTCCGTCCCTTGGGGTCCTGAAGAGCGGCTGCTCCCGGCTGTGGCAGGAGAGCGCGTGCCGGTCGGGACTCTGCCCGTGCCCGGTGCCCGGGGCCCGCACCCGCCCGGGGCCGCCGAGCCTGCGCGCGCCGCCTGCGCGAAGTGGGGTCTGGACACGAAGGCTCGCCCGAGCTCCTGGGCTAGACGCTTCCTCCCCGAGCCTGTTTCTTCTCCTGTAATTAAAACCGGCTCAAAGACTTACAGGGACAATCCAGGGGGACCAACGGGCCCCAGCACCTGGCGCGCAGAACCCACTGGAGACCGCGGATGGCGTCCAGCACCGACCCCGAGAGCCTCAGGGAGCCGGGGGGCTAGCCCTCGGCGTCGGAGCCCCGAGGCGGGTGCTCGGGCGCGCACGGAGCCCGGGCAGCCACAGGTGTCTGTGCGTCTGGGCGCTGGGGCCACGAGTGCGGAGCCGGGAGCCCGCGCTCTGCCGGTCGCCTGCGCAGGGTCCCTGTCGCCCGCGGGGATGCGCGGACCCAGGCCCGCCAGCGTGCAGCCTCGCCCCGCCGCCACCCCCGCTCTGCCCGACTCACCCGTACCGGCTCCGGGGAAAGTTTGGCGGCCGCTGCGGCGGCCAAGCTGCTCGGGGCGCGGCGGGGGCGGTCCGGCGCGGCGCGCGCGGGAGGAGCAGCGCGAGGGCGGGGACCCGGGCCCACCGCACCCGCCTTGGGCTCCACGCTCCTGGGGCCGCCCTCGCATCGGGAGGGGGCGTGGCGGGCGCGCCTCCCTCTTGGCTCCCCTCTTCCACCTCCCACCCAGGCCCAGGATTGCCTGGCTTGGCGTGGGACGGTGGCCTGCAGGCGCACACGTGGACCCCAAGAGGAATCTACTTAGAAACCAGAGTTTGCCGGAATGACAAAGGTATCTGGCGCGCCTCATCCCTGCAGGGAAGCCCCAAAAAATGAAGACATAGAATAAGACTGACAGGCTGGGACAGCCCTGGAGGGGTCACAGGGAGCTGGAGACATCCCCAAATTCTTGAGCTGTGACAGCTCAAGACTCTGGGCTCCCGCTACCCACGTGGGTCTCCACGTGGGAGACCCAGACTGAGCTCCTGGCTCTATCTCCCCACGCCACTGTGGGCATCTGAGGAGTGAGCCAGTGGATGCACCCCATGAAATAAATTTAAATAATTTCAATTACTGTGCGCAGCAGTGAGCAGACAGGTGGGGGGTGGCTCTTCCGTGGGTCCCCAAGACCCCCCCGGCTCTGGGCGCTCTAGTGGCTTCAGTGTGGCCTCAGCACCGCTGAACAGACACAGAGGGCAATCACAGGTCATTCAGCCTCTGCCCAGCAGGGGGCGATCCCACCCGCTGTGTGCTCAGAGTGCGCTTCAGGAACTGGTCCCCTTCCCCGGCCCCAGCGCCGGTCCATGTGTGTAAGTCAGGTTTCATCAGAATGGGTGAGGAGAACTCAGGGCTTCTGGGAGCACCACAGGTGCTTCCCCATTCAGTCCTCACAGTGTCCTATGTAAATGGTACGATCATGAGACCCATTTTACAGATTGGAAAACTGAGAGAGGTTCATTGCTAGAGGTCACATGCAGGCAAACTGACAGTGCAGCGATGCACCCGGCCTAAGGACCCTAAGGAAGGCTGAGGGTCACCAGGCCGTCGCCTGCTTCTTCTGGGGCTGCTGGGAAGTTCCGTGGTTGCCCACAGACACCTGTGCCTAAATGCAAGGATTAAGATGCCCAGAGATGCCGGGGTGCTTCTGAAAGTTCTTAGGGAACAGAATTGAAAGAAAAGCTTATTTTGGTGCCAAAAACCCCCCCAAAACCCAACCACTACCACCACTGAAAACCCCGTATATGAAGATTCTTCACAAAGTCTGTTAAAAGTGCTTACAATGAACAAAGTTATGCGTGGGTGTCAGAATTTCTTGTACCCAAATCAGCTTATCTTTTATTCCACATTTCCATGGACTTTTTGAAGATCCCGGCCATGTGACTCTGGACTCAGGCCAGCGGGCAGGCAGGGGTGTCCTGGGTGCGAGCAGAACTCCCCCAGCAGCACAGGAAGCCCCTCCCACGGGGCCTTTGGATGCTGACCCTCGGAGACCGCTGCACCCCTGGGACTAAGCTAGAGACTGGCAGGAGCACCGGCTACCACCTGCCCAGCAGACATACTCCCTCTGTGTCCAGCTGCGGGGCTCACAGCAGCAAGGGAGAACGGCTTGGCTGTGGCTGGGTCCCCTCCCTGCCTCTCTCCTTTCTACAAGTCAGCAAAGCCTTGACCACCTGGAATCCCTTTCCCAAGTTTCACTTCCCGGACTGCTTTTAGGCCTGCTTAAACCCATAGCAATCAGCGCTTTGAGAAAAAGGAAAATAAAAATCAGCCTTTTAGCAACACCACGCCCTTGGGTGGCAGACACCCCGCCACTGCTGCCTCCCGGGAAGCTGCAGTTGTGAGCAGAGGCTGCATCCCACATGCTCTGTGATGGGGTGCAGGTGTCCTGGCACCAGCTTCCCCGGCTAGCCCACAGAGCCACCCCACCCCTGGAATATTCACATTAGCTACTGGGAAAGACTCTTCGCTGTGAGGTTGCTCAGTTGGCCATTCCTGCCTCCCCATGGGAAGGTCCAGCCTTCTAAAGAAACTTCTAAAGGAGACTGCGGCAGGAGGCCAAGGGGGCCTCTAAGTGGGCTGCGTTAGACCCTGCCCCAGGAGCCGGGCTGATGCTGGCTGTGCTTGGGTTTCTGTTGCCTGCAGTCCAGAGCACCATGGTTAAACCACTCTCGTGACACCGAGTGCCCCTCTCACTTCACTCACAGGCGAGGAGGGAAGCCTCCTTTTCTTTCTTTCTTCCACAAAGCACAGAAGGGGGAGGGGAGGGGAGCCTGCACCCCGGGTTCCACAGCCAGCGGCTGTGTCTCAGCTGCTGATCTGGACCCAGCCTCGGGCAGCCTGGATCCCTGTCCTCATGTCCTCGGGCTTCAGTTTTCCCATCCGAGGACACACCTCATGGAATGCTGTGCTGAGCAGGTGCACGGGGCTCCGTACCTGGCCCTACAGAGAGCCTGACCTCGCAGCTCCTCCCCGGCCTGTGGTTGGTTGGTTGGTTGGTTGGTTTCTCCGTCCTGCAAGGGCTTATCTCAGGAAATTCCAGTTCCACAACAGAAAAAAGCACATACCTGGCCCCCAGGGCTTCCAGCAGTGTCTGACATGGTGTCGCTAAAAAAAGTGACAGAGAAGAGAGAGAGAAGCAGACAGAGATCTTCCATCCTCTGGTTCACTCCCCAAATGGCCACGATGGCCAGGGCTGGTTCAGACCAAAGCCAAGACGCAGGATCTCCGTCCAGGTCTCCAACGTGGATGGCAAGGGCCCCAGCACTGGGGCCACCTTCTGCTGACTTCCCGGGCACATCAGCAGGGAGCTGGGTCAGAAGACCTTCAAATATTTTTTTTTCTCTTTTTTCTCAAAGTGCTGATTGCTATGGGTTTAGCAGGCCTAAAAGCAGTCTGGGAAGTGAAACTTGGGAAAGGGATTCCAGGTGGTCAAGGCTTTGCTGACTTGTAGAAAGGAGAGAGGCAGGGAGGGGACCCAGCCATATCCAAGCCGTTCTCCCTTGCTGCTGTGAGCCCCGCAGCTGGACACAGAGGGAGTATGTCTGCTGGGCAGGTGGTAGCCACTGCTCCTGCGAGTCTCTAGCTTAGTCCCAGGGGTGCAGCGGTCTCCGAGGGTCAGCATCCCAAGTCGATTCATATTGGCCTGGCCTGGGTCTCACACCTGGTCCTGAAACTCTGGTGCTCTGGTCCAGCCAGGGTCCGATGTGGGTACCTGGACTATGGGGTGGCATCAGCCCCTCTAAGCCACTGGGGCTGGGAGCGGGTGACAGACGGTTCCTGAAGGCAGTCATGTTGCTATAAGCAGAATGACTCGGCCCTGGTGCTGGGCAGATGAGGACACAGGTGCCCCTCCCTCAGACTGTGACTACTATCAGATTAGCCAAGGTGGACAAGCACCGTGCCTGCCTCTGGTGGGAGCTCAGTAACTGAGTCCCTTCCCTTCTGCCCAGGAAGCCCAGGCCAACTGCTTCCTTGTTCACGTGGGGAAACTGAGGAAGGCTGAGAGAAGGGCAGAGCCCCGTTGGCCACAGCTCGCGCGTCCGGACTCTGAGTCAAATCCCAGCTGAAGCCTTTGCTGATGGCCTGAAATCCCCTGATCACAAGGGAGACAGCTTCCCGTCTGTACAGGGGAGCCTGGAAAATCACAAAGCCCTTGAGACGCAGTGGAAATGAACGCCACCTGGGATGGGCCCCAGGGCGCACGACAAGCTGTGCTCGGGTCCATCTCCCCACCCGCCACATCATCAAGGCAGCCGGCTCTCCCCGGGGAGCTGTGCACTCTGGGTCATCTTCTCACGTGGCTGCCCGAGGCAGCACGATGGGTCTCCTCTTGATTTAGTCCCTGCTCAATCTGTGCGAGAAAAACGTGCATCCTTCAGGTCTGAAGTGGGCCAAGTGGCCAGCTTGTTACTTACCTGAGGACTTCAACGTGACCTGGACCTGGTTCACAGCTCCTGGCTGTGGGTGGCTAGTCCAACTTCTTCCCTGGAATTGCGACCCGGCTGCAGGCTGTGCAGCTGGTCTGTTTGAGGGAAGCAGTGGGAGACCCTCAGATATCAAACGGGAATGATGAGACCCGCTGCCTCCATCCCCTCCCTGCACCGAAGGGAAACCGGAAACTGCCGTGTACACCATTGGCCAGTAAGTTGAAAACTTCCAGAATGTTCCATTCCGCTACTGAGATTTTTTTTCCTGAGAAAATAATCACGGATATCACCAAGATATGCATGAAGATGTTCCCCACAGGACTATATACAGTAGTAAAAGACTGAGGATAATCCAGACCTCCAACCGCAAGGGTGTGGTTGGACGGATCACGGGACACTGATGGCCTGGGCTGAGGAGCACCTGCCATGCCCATACCCCAGAGTTATGGAAGCGTGTGAGAACTGCTCACGAGACACGTGGATGGTGTTTACGGGAGCAGGTTATAAAACACAAGGTCAGGGTGAGCTTGTTTTGAGAAAGCGTGGCCATGCTTGGGTAGAAAGAGCCTCAGCATAGCAACTCGGGGATGAGGTACAAGGCAGAGAAAGTCACGGGTGCCTTTGGTTTCACTGATCTGTGTTTTCTAACGCTTCATCAGTAAATTCACATTACTTTGGTAATTAGAAAAAAAAGGATCATTAATGTTGAGAAAAGGATTTGTGCTCAGTTTCCTGTCAGAATAGCTTTTTCAGTTGTCAAAGGATCACAACCAGAAAGGAGACTAAATTGCTCACTGTCTGGCTAGGAGCCAGGGAGGGGGACGGGGAGCGGCCGCAGCCGTGCCCCGAGAGCCCGCGGGCCTGGGCCTCTCGCACATCCACAAAACAAGGAATTCGGCCTCCTGATGGCCAGGGCTCTCTCCGAGGCCACACTCTATGTATGGGCAAGGTCCTGGGACCAGCGAGTGCTCAGGCGCCCATGGGAGAGCATGTCACGGCCCAG